GTAGGGAACCGAAGACTCAATTTGTCCTTCACATCCTTGATAAAGGGGGAAAAAGAGAAAAACAAGTTGCTGCAATTTCTCGTTCTTAGTGTGAGCTTTGAAGAATAAGAAGCTCAACTCTACAATGCCCCAAAGGAAATAGCAAATTTTGTTTCCCTCTCAAAGAGCAGTGTGGGCAGCAGGAGTAAGCCATGGAGAACATCTTTCACAAAGCCACCACATACCCTGTTTCCAGGCTTCCAGGCTTCTAGCCCTTTATTTGCCAAGCTGAGAATGTCCACAGCTTTGCAGCTTCCTACAGCCATGGCTGGTGTTGGAGTCCTTTCCTTACAGTGTGGCTAAGCAGCAGCCAGGGGCTATCACTGCGTGTCCTGACTTGAAGTCTCTAACAAATGCTCAAGTGAGATCTTAATTTGATACCAAATTATTAGCTTTTATCACAAAGGAAAGCAGAAACACTGATGTGCACACTGATTTGCCTAATCAGCAGGTAAGCCTTGTGTGGAAGAACAAGTGGAGAAGGCCAAAAGCACTTGTCCCACTGAACTAAAAGAGATGCTACACACCAAGACTTTTTGTCACCACTGTGCAGTCCCTGCACTTCCAGCTCAGAAGGGGAGAAAGGAATATCTTCTCCATCAACGAAGCCACCTGTTGCTGTGCTGTGTGCATGATACCACAGGAGAGCAGGCGCTTAGAAATATTCCTAACAAACACTACTGGCACTGGAGACTTCTAACCTGATCATCTTCAGCTTTGGCAACTTTCTGCAACCCTCTGCTTATTGCCTCTTGTTACCTCCCACCCTGGGAAGGGGAATACTTTTTTTTAAGCCAGAAAACCAAACCAAACCCTCAAAATGCCTTGCACAGAAGGCAAAGCAACCAGCTCCAGTGTAATTAAGGATTTGATGGTGGGTGCCTTTGGGTTTATCTGCAGTTCACAGCATGGAGAATACCTGATCAAACAAGCCAACGAGCAGAACTGGGAGGCTGGAATACAGCACGTTGTACAGCGTGATGAACCAGTCTTCATAAGCTGTCTGCAGGGAGAGGAGGAGTTTCAGTAGTTAATAATTTCTTCAGGATTATACCTGTTTTTAGCCTGTATTAAGCTGCCCTGCTCCTCCCAAACCATCAGTGTTCCCTGACCTGAAACTCCTCACACTGGTGTCAGTCTGGTCTGCAGCTGCATGTGTGGCTGTGGTGGGCACCTCAGGGCAGCTC